AAATGATGGGCAGCCCCCTTCCCAGGTGTGACTATAACGGGAGCTTCATTTCATCATTCCATTATCTCCCATTCTCTTTCTTTCTTTTCTTTCAGCTACTTCAGAGTCTTCCAAACACTTATCTTCATAGTTGAATTCCCCCAACACGCTAAGCCTTAGTGGCTGGATGTACACAGCACACTAAACCCTAAGCCTGATTGTTGCTGTGTCCCCATATCATGTTCTGTCCAACTAAACCATTTTGGGTTCCCTCAACAGACTGCATCACAAGCTACCAAACCCTGTCTTAGCCTTGTCTAGTGTGATGCACATTTCCAGCCACGATGCTTTATACAGCACTCTTGGTGGCTCATAAGGTATGATGAGGGAACCCAGCCACTGTGGATTATTCCCTGAAACATGGCTAAAGATATGGTTACTCTAACTGGGCTGTAAACATTTGGGCAACCACCAGTCAGCAGCACATAGATGGAGCACACTCTAACCCAAACTTGGCCACTTTGAGTGGACTTCAACTCCCAGAATTCCCCAGCCAGCCATGCTGGCTGGGGAATTCTGGGAGTTGGCCCACTCATCTTAAAGTGGCCAAGTTTGGACAACACTGCTCTAACCCTTTGCTGTCACCTAGTCATCATCTGGCATTTTGCAGAGCAGGTCTGGTAATCTACTGATGAAAGCATTGCTTAGCACCATGTGCAAGCCTGGTCATTGAGGCTTTGGCCTTCCGTGTTTCAATCCAGAGAATATCAGCATGATGGTGACTAAGGTGGTGTCTAGGAGTGCATTTTGCTCCTTCATGTCAACTGATAGTAAAGAAAGATGATGAAGGGCTGGCCCTGAAAGAAAAGCTAATTTTGATCTCTGGAGCAAATAACATTGGCCCTTTAGGCTGCCCTGAACTATTCACCCATGGTTAATGTAATCACAATTTCAGCAAATAAAACACCTCATTTCCATTCAGAACATCCTGAATTCAATCCTAGATTTCTCATTTAAACAGAACCTAGTACTGAGTGATGGAAACCCCTCTGCCTAAGACTCTGGAGAGCCACTGATGGTGAGAGCAGAAGGATCACTGGTGGGATCAGAAGCTTTCCGTATTTCTTGCTTAAATCTTAGTCTGACTGCCTGCCCACCTGAGAGGCAGAGACAAACAGGAGAATGTCAAGTTTCTTTCCCCACCCCAGATCCTACACTGTGCATCCTTCCCTATCTGGTATCCTGCAGCTGCGTTGGGTACAACTCCCAGATTTCCCAGCTGAAGAGCAGGTGTTGAAGGGGCATTCTGAAAGTTGTACCACTGCAGCTGGGCACCCCCCACCCCAACAGGGAAGGCTGGCTCCAGCAGTGAATTCAGATAGGTAACAGATGCAGCCCTTGTTACTGGCCTTTATGGGGGGCAGAAAGACAGGAACAGGGATGTTTCTGCCCCTTGAAAGGAAGACTAAAGCACTGATCCTTTTGGGCTTGAGGGGATATCCCTACCAGTATACATTTAATTTCAACAACCCAGGTTTTCTTGGGATTCCTACAGCAGGGGTATTGCCTTAATTCCAGAGGTGGAAAAATAAATGCATCGACTCCATTCACACAATGCAACGTGGTTACTCAATGAGCCCATACTGCAGGCTTGCACAATATACCAAACTCTAACCATCCAACGACCTGATCACAACACTCCACCGCCCCACCCGCAGTCAAGCTTAGCATGTCATGCGAGCACAGCCGTCGCCTGATCTACTTTAAGTCCGTTGTGCGAATGCAGACCCTCCTTTGGGGAGAATGCGCTCTGTACATGCTCGGGACCGCGTTCGTTCTTCCTGCTCTGGACGCGGAAGGCCCTGCCATCGAGTCTGGTCCCAGCGACGCGTGGGGCAGAGCGGGGAGAGCAGCTGCAAAGGCGCCGATCCCTCTGCCAGCCATCCGCTGGTGCCTTTCCACAGGGGCGTGACAGGCCGAGGGTGGGGGTGCAGCTTCGCTGCCCAACGTTTCTGCCTGGCGGCGCGGCAGCTCAACCTGCAGCCGCTGCAGCAGCCCTGCGCCACCGGGAGGGTGCTGTCGGTGTCGGGCCTCGGCTCGGGGTGGGTTCGCAGCCCCTCCCCAGCCGCTTAGAGAGACCTCCCCCTCCCCGCGAATTGGCTGTGGTGCCTTTA